CAGGGTAGAATCCTTGTGCCAAGCAGGTCAGGCTGAGCTTTGTGTTGGTCATCTGCTCCTTTGGTGGTGGCAAGACGTACACTTGTGGCTCTCGGGGTTGCCCTGTGGGGACAGAGGTCAGCAGAGGTCACTGCCGGGGCTGAGGGCTGTCCATGCCAGGCTCCGCCCTGTGGGCGTGGCCACCCGGCGCTCTCAGCACATTGCTCCCACCTTTGACTTTGGAGATGGTTTTCTCGATGGGGGCTGGGAGGTCGTTGTTCTTGACTTTGCACTTGAACTCCTTTCCCGACAGCCAGTCCTGGTGCTGGATGGGCAGGACGCTGACCACTTGGAGTGTGCTGTTGTACTGCTGTTCTGGGTGCTGGGTCTGGGCCTCGTGTACCTCCACATTGTCCATAAACCAGGTGATCTCGGCCTTAGGGTTCTCCTGGCTCAGGTCTACTACCACACAGGTGACCTTGGGGGTCAGAGAAATCGTGAGGGTGTCCTGGGGCTTCGGGGGAAATATGAAGACAGATGGTCCTCCTAAACAATCGTCTATTGATGGAGAGATAGATAAGTTAGTGCTCTGCCAGGGCCAACCTCTTTAGGACAGCTTCAATGGGCCTTCCTTCCCTCCTGGTCTTACCTGGGCACTTGGGACATTTGGAAGGAAGGTTTTCTCTTCTAGGCTCTGCAGAAACAAGGTTTTGGTTACTAGGGCTGAGGGAGGTGGAGCCACACAGAGCTGGGGAGATGGCCCTGGGGAAGGCTCGGGTCCCATGCTGACTGGGCCTGCTGTGGTCCTGGGCACCAGGAGACCCATGTCCACCCTGTCTGTCCAGAGGGTCCGGAGGGCATGCACTGAGAACACCTCTTCCTGCCTGAGCGATGGGTGCAGATGCCTCCCATCACCTCTGGGGTCCTCTCCCTGGCTGGCGCTGTGCAAGCCTGGCTCCGGGGACCCTCCCTCGGGCCGTCTCCTTACCAATGGTCTTGTCCACCTTGGTGTTGCTGGCCGGGTGGACTACATGGCAGGTGACGGTCTGGCTGGGCCAGGTGCCGGAGGGCACCGTCACCATGCTGTTGAGCGAGTAGAGCCCTGACTTCAGAACAGATGGGAAGGTGCGCACGCCGCTGGTCAACTCGGCCGCTCCGGACTTCCATGACACGGTGACCGGCTCGGGGAAGAAGCCGCTGACCAGGCAGCCCAGGGACGCCGTGGAGCCAGAACTGACTCCACAGCTGGGAGCCAAGGGGAAGACGGATGGGGTTGTGGTGCTGGCTGCAAGAGAGGAAGCAGCAAGAGAGTTTGGTGTGGGACATGGCTGCCCCAGGCCCGCGTCCCCGTCCTGTGAGGGCCCCGACCTCCTGTCCCCGTCCTGTGAGGGCCCCACCCCGCGTCCCTGCGCCTCAGAGCCCAGACCCGGTGTCCCTGTCCTGTTTGTGCTGTGCTATGTCCCCACGCCCTCTGCCCTTCATGACCTCTTGCCCAACCTGGCTCTGCTGGGGGTCGTGGCCCGGGTCCTGTCTCTGCTGGGGGTCATGGCCCCGGGTCCTGGCTCTGCTGGGGGTCGTGGCCCCGGGTCCTGGCTCTGCTGGGGGTCGTGGCCCGGGTCCTGACTCTGCTGGGGGGCGTGGCCCCGGGTCCTGGCTCTGCTGGGGGTCGTGGCCCCGGGTCCTGGCTCTGCTGGGGGTCGTGGCCCCGGGTCCTGGCTCTGCTGTGGGTCATGGCCCCGGGTCCTGGCTCTGCTGGGGGTCGTGGCCCCGGGTCCAGGCTCTGCTGGGGGTCGTGGCCCGGGTCCTGACTCTGCTGGGGGTCGTGGCCCGGGTCCTGGCTCTGCTGTGGGTGAGGCTAACAGGGCTGGGACACAGGGCCTGGGCCTCATCCCTTCTGTGCTGCTGGCCCAGCTCCAGCCCTAGAACCTGGCCCTCACATTTGCCTTTGAGGGCTTTG